CATCTGTTATATTTGCACAATATCAAAATATCATTGGAGTTTTCTTAATAATCAAAATAATCAAACAAAACATAGGCTTGCAGCAAGTTCTCACAAGCGAATACGCCCAACAGCAGCTTGATAAAGAGCTAAATGTGAAATGTAAAACAAACTCTATATCGTAGCCTGTAGGGTGAGCACGAGCCAAAAAAGTGAAAAAAACACGATAGAGTTTAAACGATATCTCTCAAGAAAATCATCGGATCATCACCAAATTCAATAGTGCACATCTTAATGATATTGACACAAATAAAAACAATCAGAAGACTAGAGCCACTCGTGGCACAGAGTGGGACTTTGCAAATGTAGCAATTTGCTAAAGACCCCGAAAAAATCAACCATCGACGATAATTAGGTCAAGCGCAAGAACAAGTCTAAAGTTGATAATTTTTTATTTTTTAGAAGATTCTAATACCGGAAGTAGACGTCAGACCTCACAAATGAAAGCATCAGCAGATAGCCAAGGTCAATGACCTTTGATCTTGTAAAGGAGAAGGTCTAAAACGGTCAAGATCAAGAGATATACGTCTTCAAAATTTCTAATTGCATACGACTATAAAACCGGAAGTTGACATAGGACAGCAAATATAAAAGTATAAATAGATAGCCAATGCCAATGACGTTTGATCCTAGAAAGATCAAGGTCAACAAAGGTCAAGGTCAAAAATTGAAAATTTTGAATTTCCAAAACCTGTTCCTTTTTTTGAACTATGAAGCGGAAACAACCAAACTTCTAAGACAAAGTGACTCAAAACATGAGATAATTGTATGCAAAGTTCCATTTTGAACAAACGTATACTTTGCGAGTTATGTTCCTGGCCAAAAATGTCAATAATGAGTAATATAACCCAGATGTGGCACGCCCACCTTAATTTTTTTTGCATAGGGTAATAGATATTCCAAATGTTATGTTGTGTTTTAAATTTCAAAATTCTACATTATTCAAGTCAAAAGATATAGGTCAACAAACGTCAACAAAGGTCAAAATCGAAAAATGAAAATATCCAAATGTTAAAACCCGTTCCTTTTTTGGAACTATAAAGCTGAAACAACTGAGCTGTTAACACAAACTGGCCAAAAGGATGAGGTAATTGTGTGCAAAGTCCCTTTTTGAACAAACGTATCCTATGCGAGTTATGCCCCAGCCGCAAAATGTAAACAATTAGTAATTCAACCCGGATGTGCCACGCCCACCCCAATTTTTTTGTCATAGGTGAATTCATATTCAAAGCGTCTAGTTGTATTCCAAATATCAAGGTTCTACATAGAATAGGTCATAAGATATACATACACCAAGATCAAAAAGACACAAATATGGTAAAAAAAAAACTCAAATTTGAAAAAATCACGAATTTCAATTTTGCTTTAAAAAAGCAATTGTTCTATATCTATGTAAAGTGCATGAGAAGCACATTAGAAAACCGAAAAAATTAACCCTCTAGGTTAATTAGGTCACGTGCTAGAGCAGTCCAAAGTTGCGAATTTGGCTTTTTACGGATAGCTATAAAACCGGAAGTACATGTCGGAGGTCAAAGGTCAAAGTATAAAATGATAGCCAAGGTCAATGAACTTTGACCCTATGAAGGTCAAGGTCATCAAAGGTCAAGGTCACGAGATACAAGCCTTCAAAAATTGAAAAAAATTCAACCGGAAGTTGCAAAAAAGCAAAAGTCAAATTCAAAAATCCATTCCCAACATTTTTGTCGCCATCGACTAAAGTATACACCAACATAAAAATTTGACCAATCCCATTCTCCCCCGAAGCCCCATTTTGAGTTTTATGAAAAAGTATCAAATCAAGATGGCGGCCGAAGTATTTTTTTCGGACTAAATTTTATTTTAAAATCGGCCATAGAATTACGATTAATAACGATATACATAATTTCGTTGAAATATTTCAATCACAC